GGTTAATTTAAGCCCCGTCAGATATCTACATTACAGGTGTGTTTGTAAGGCCATTTGTTTATAAGCCCTCCTAAAACCCCTTGCAAAGGTGTATAAGCCCTGGGCTATTTAACCAGCAGTTTTATACTGTTATGCACTATTAACAATATTGTTTTCAGCACAGTACATGTATACAAATGTGAATGTTACATTTTGGGGTGAAAAGGAATATTTAAGAATTACTGGGAATTTTAGGAAAAACCTTGAGGCAACTAATATAAAATAAATACATGCATTAGCTCCCAAATAAAATTCAAGCAATCAATTAAATTTATTTTCACGCTTTAAGTTTAACATGTAAAACATTTCCTATGGTATATTAACATGTGATGGGCTTCATTACAGCTGAATAATTTTTTTTTTTAATTATAATCTTCTTGTAACTGAAACAATAAATTGTAATGAAGTAATCCTAAACTGCAGACTTACCAGCTGTTTGTTTTTGCTGGGCTCGCAGCTTGTCAAACGTGACTAAAATAATCCTGGAACCTTTAGCTTACTGATAGATTTATTTCATTGTGAAGCGTAAGCTAGCATGCAAGTGACCAATTCGATTTTTAATCACGAACCGAACATCGCAATTTGTACTCACCACAAACTTTCAAAATCGTGGCTTTATAAATGGCTGCTCGATCCTTGTTTGTACGTAACAGGTAGTCATGATATGTCTACTGTTGTCCCTTCTCTTAACTCCATGGCGCTGGCGACTTGCTTTTCATTTACAATACTTACGCTGTTCTCGTCTTCCCGTTAAACAACGCTAAGACTCATCTTTAGAGATGCAAAACATTTAGGAAAAGAAATAACTTCACACATGAGCGATCAACGGATGAAAAGTACATTCAAAGATGAGCGCCAAACGGAATTTCTTTGTTTCCGATCACGGGCATGATCACGTGGATATTTTGGGAATTGTCATTGGCTATTAAAGGGAATCCACTGGCTTGCCCGATTGCGGTCTCAAGAGAGGACCGAAACATCATTTTGATTTCCCTGACCAGTTCTTTGCTTTTGGACGATGGATTAATCCATGTTTTGACGATGATGTAAATAACGATGTGAACTCACTCTGTAGAAATAATCCACAATAATCGAACGTATTACAAATCCACGATTTGTGGCCAAAAGTTGTCGAGGATACAAAGGCTCGAAACCCACTTGAGTAGTAGTAGTAGTAGTAGTAGTAGTAGTAGTAGTAGTAGTAGTAGTAGTAGTGGTAGTGGTAGTGGTAGTGGTAGTGGTAGTGGTAGTGGTAGTAGTAGTAGTAGTAGTAGTAGNACTGGTTTGAATTCGTGCGACCAGTCGCAGGGACTTGTCGCATGAAACAAATGTTTGTCCCTTCGTGTGAACTGTTTGTGCGACCAGTCCCTGCGACTAAACGGTAAATAAGCCAATCACGGGTCAGTATGATGCGTGACTTCCGGTATTTGTAAACATTGCAGTCATCTAATGATGAATTTTCCCTAACTTCTAGATTTCTACAGCTGAAGAAAAAAAAACTATTTCTAGTTTTGTAAACATATACAGATGTCTTGGAGTCGTTTTGATGGAATTTTTACCCTATTTGACTGTGTCTGTTAAGAATAAAATAAAAAAACAAAAACGGAACACGTAAAAGCATGAATAATCCGACTAAATAAGTGTAGTTCGTTTGCGTTGATGTTTAATAGTGCTACAATGAAAAGTTACCAAATTTTAATTGTTTTTGTGTAACGCCCCAGACTAAGAAACATCTTTTGCCTCTTAATTTTCCAATGTTCTTGTGCAATTGAGTGCCCTCGTGTGAATGCCTGAAGGGACTAGTCCCTGCTACCGGGCCCCTTGTGTAAACCCTTCAGAGACTTGTCGCCGGGACTAGTCGCACAGACTAGTCGCAGGGACTAGTTTCCTTGTGTGTGCCGACCTTTAGTCTTTCGTTTCCACTGAACCAGCAGTTGTGCCAAAAGAGTCATGTGCGTCTCATAACGAAGAAAGCTTTTTACAAGAGAAGGCATAGGTGGCCCAAGCTCTGCCACAGGCTCTTTCACAGTGGATTATTATAGAGTTTGTATAGTGGTTTAGTTGGACTTGCTTTTGAGCTCCGTAAATGTAAAGTTGTGTGAAATAAATCAAAGAAAATTGTCTCACCTTCATAGAGAGTAGCCTGTGGCAGAGCTTGGGGGACCTGTGTTGAGATTCTCACCTACAAATGGATGTGCACATTCTGAAGTGTTCCTCTGTTCATGATTATGTTTATGTTTTATGATTTTAGCACATCTGTGGAGATGAGACATTTTGCATCACAATAAAAACTTTTATGATCATGGAATCCACGAGGCCTTGAAGGTTAGAAAGCAAATATGTGATATGAGTACATAGGATTAATTGACACTTTAATCGACGGCTGCTTCATGAAAAAATGCATATAAATGTTAAGATTTGCAAAGACTTAGTTTGAAAAATAAATTTCATGATAAACATATACATACAATTATGTATATATCTTGGTATATTTTGTAAGGTATACTTTTTATTGAACCAAAGCTTTAAGCCTCCAAAATTACTTCTTGTCCTAAAACCTTCAGGTTCCACGTTTTGAGAATTTCTTGGAATTATTTGGATGCAGAAATTCCCAAGAATTCCACCCTTCTTAACTTATAAGTAGTTTGTATAGCTGAGACATCCTAGGAATTTCAAGTCCTCACAAAACTGGAACCTTCCTTTCCCAGAAATTCCCAGTCATTCGAAGCTTTTCAAATCAGAGCTAATTTGCATTGTTGGGAATTTTTGAGAATTCCCAGGAATTCCCAGAAAACTGGGAATTCAGTTCGCAAGGGCTGTTACATTTTTCAGTATGTGTTGGTGTATAGCTTGATTTTCATCTGCAGCTCAAGTTGAGTTATTTATTAAATACTATGATCAGATTTGCCTCTAAACTTTGCCCATCAACATGTGGCTTTGTAGCTGACAGTTGGTAGTAGACTGCTCAACTAGTATCATGGAGGCAGGCTGGGTTCAAATCTTTTCAAAGCATAAATGATTCTGGTTTATTTTCTGCAATTGCTCTAAAATAAATTGCACTTTACTTGTGAGGATCATTTCTTGGGTTGAATTTCATCTGCATGTCAAATGAAATTAATTTCATTAAAATTATGTCTTCCGTAATAACTGAACAACTTGTTAATGTCACTATTTACTGAAAAGGATCTGAAAATTTGAATTCCTTTCACTCAAGCATTTTTTTTCTTTCAGTTTTGTTTGTTCATTTGTTATGTTTTTTTTTTCTTTTTATAGTAGATGACACAATTTATCAGTTAGTGAATAATAGATGATTTGGCAGCACTTGTCTGTGATTTCTTTGAGGATCAACCTTTGGAACCATTTAAAAAGGGGTCAAGTAAGTTTAAAATCTCAGAAAAGACCATTTATTTAATTAATTTCCTTTCAAAATTGTGGAAATCCTTAACATGGTCATGAACATCAAGCCTCGAATAACTCTTGCTGAAATGGTGATGAAAGAGTATGCAAGAAGTCAGCTGAAGAAATGATTTTCAATTGTAGCAGTGGAAAACAATTGAAAAAACCATGACATGTGTTTAATAACTAACTTACTGACTCACATGTATGCTTCAGCTGCAACTAAATTAATTAACAAATTTGGGTCCTCCACTAAATTCTTTCCAAGTTTACTAATGATGGCATCATCTGTGTTTATCGCTGACAATACTTTCCTCTTTATTCTTGTCCTTGGTAAACCTGACCAAAAAACGGTCATACTTCCTATACAATGTTTGATTTGAGCTTACTTACACCTTCCAAGCTGTCTGATTATTATTTTATGACTTTTTCCTTCATTTTCTAAATGTGAAAATGAAGGAGCCTCTCTAAATTGTTTTGACCGTATTTTTAAACCGTGTTTTAAACCCCTGAGGGGGACTGGGTTCTAATTTCTCCTTACAGTATCACCCTGAAATCAAAAGTAAAGGTCCAATAAGAATCAAGGAACTTCTAATCACCAATCCAACAAACTTCTGATTGGCAAACAAATTCTCCTTGTCAGTTTGATAGGAAATGTAGAGAGAACAGTGTGGAGAATATCATAAATACTAATGCTGGATTGTAAAGGTTTCATTGACGGTCAGGCTTCTTAAATAATCACTTCAGATTCACCCACAGCCCTGGGGACTCTTGAAAAGTTTACAGTTTTGTGAGTGACATGTAGTTTGTGTGGTTTCTTTTAATTTTACACCAAGGCCATGTTATTTTTACTTATTTGATTTTTAATTTTAATTTTAATTTCATTTATTCGCCACGGGAATGGAAGGAGAAAGGAACAGAGCTTTCGTCCCAATCGACACCTAACCCCAAATTCTCAGTACACAGGCGAGACCACATCACAGTAATCTCGTGACTGGGTTCTTCAACGTCCCCTGCCTAACCAAACTAACTAATTAATAATGCAGGAGACAGGACCTACGGTTCATTCGTCCTTATCCGAGAAGACTAGAATGTCTATCCATTTCCTGATATTATAGAAAGGTAGCTAGCACATTCTCCTCAGTTATTTTAAGACCTTGAGTGTTGGTCCGGCTGGAGCGTTTGTGTAAAATGGATTTCATCACATCGTTTCTATTCGTTTTCATGCTGGGAAGGTTACTTTATATATTTAACTTTTTGTTGTTGTTGTTGTTGTTTTGTTTTGTTTTGTCTTTAATGTATTTACTTCTTTCTTTTCCCCTACAGCCGGACTCAATGCTCGTAAAATGGATGCAAGCTGTTTTGAAAACCTTAAGAGCAGCTGAGGCGGCCCGTGGAAGGGTAACATGCCATATTTCTCCATATGTACATTGAAGGGGGAATCCTCTGAAAAAATTATTAAAAGTAGCTATTAAGACGTTACAGCTTTTTGCTTTCTGCGGAAGACGCCTCGTTCCATCACACGGAGGTTGATGACGTCGCCGTTCAGTAAATGAAGAAGCTGAAGGTGGAGCGTACCGCGTGATCAGATAGGTCGTCATGGACGGAAGAAAAACAATTTAATGCCCTGTCTGGCAGACATTTTTCTTGCGCAGCTAAAAATACAATTTGAATTGTAAATTGGCGAGTTGTGGCGGTTTTTGTTATAGAGGAGACACGTATAAATATATCGAGTGAGTCTGCCGTTGAGTCTGTGTTTTTGAGGTTCTAAATCTCTGTCTTTCTGAATCAGTGATAGATGTACATCAACAACAAATTTTATTTAAGCTTAATACGGAAAATTACAATGCTTGGGCCCGCAAGTAGCAAGGGCTATTCGAGGCGGGCACAAGAGAGGAAAATAAAAAAAACTGCATTCGTTAACATTATCACTTAACTGATTTTAAAAGCACATTTGGTCTATTAATATCTGCAGAATCATTTCGGCTTTAACGGCTCTGATTACGGTAAATACGTAATAATATCAGCACAGTAATAGTAATAGTAATCAAAGTTTAATGTCTTAACGTGGGGCGTGGTTGCCCATATTGCCCGAGCCAGAGGCTCATGTATGAAACGCAAGACAACAACCCACCTATCCCACCCCAGGGGAGGACATCCATGACACAGTAATCTCGTGCGTGGGAAATTAACGTCTGCTACCCCTAACCCTGCAGGAGGCGGGACCTCCATTTATTCGTCCCTATCCGAGAAGACTAGAATATCTAAACCATATCTTGATATAGAAAGGCAGGATATTCTTCTCAATTATTTTAAGACCCTGTGTGTTGGTGCGGCCGGGACTCGAGCCCTCGACCTCCCGCACATCAGTCCACCGCTCTATCCATTGAGCTAACCGGGGGCTGTGATGTTACATCATACATTAAGATATAACTGTCAAGAAGTCATTTCATCCCAATAAAAGTTGAAAAACCTTTGAAATCAAATAAACAACCGAAGCCAAGCAATTCTTTTCGCGAAATAAGGAAGAGAAAAACATCTGAATATGAAAAACCAGGATGAGAATGGGTCAGAGGAAGGTAGATGGGATAGTGTTACAAGTGCGCAATGCGTGCTAAGTTTCAACCCTCAGTCAGTTTCTCACCCTTTTTAAACGGAGTTTCAACTAAGAAATCTGTCTCAGCCAATTTAAACTTTTAAGCTTGGTTACTGTAAAGAGATTTTTTCGATTGAAAATTTTATTACTCTAAAGGATAAGAAGTTGTGGGCCAAGATCACCGACAGCGATTTACAACAGCTTTAGATGACCTTTTACCACCAGGGCGACCAATACTTACGCTACGTAAGAGGCGCCATAATTATATTCTCCCGCTTGTACTGAGAACTGAACGTTTCAAGAGGACTTTTGTTAATAGATGTTTGTTCTCTTGTTAGTTAGTTATCTAGTTAGTTAATTAGTTTTATATTTGCTTACTGGGCATAGTAGCTAAACACGTTTAC